TTTGCAGACTGAAAAGTGTTTTGAACTGTGTTGTCATACACACTACCCAAATATATTAGCTATTTTAGGTATAAAAGTCTTGAACTACTTTATAAAGGCTTACTAATTTTTAGCTACTAATTTGCTATTTAAATTTGCTTTATTTCCAGGCATGGTGGCGCATTCTTGTAATCCTAGCACTCAGGAGGCTGAGGCAGGAGGAACTCTATGACTGAGGCCAGTCTGGGCTACATAGTGAATTCAAGACTAGCAAGGACTACATAGTGAGATTCTATCTCAAACCCCCAATAAATAAATAAATAAATAAATAAATAGATAGATAGTAAAACTGCTTTAAAAACTATATACAACAGTCCAGTATCAATGGAAGTAAAGAAAGTTGACCACAATCCCCTAAATAAATTACGCACGCAAAATTTTCTAGAAATCCTATACTAAGAATGTCAAAATCTAGTTATTATAAGCATTTTGTCCATTTTGGTAATCTTCCTAATACTCAACTGGCATCAAGCTGAATAAAAACAATACTTAAATTTTTCCAATTTTTAGGTTCCAGTATTTCCAATGTTATAAATAATGCATTAATATGTTTATACATGATTTTCCTGAACTTAATCTCAGTGCTGGTATATTTTCTTATATTAGATCTAGAATATCTGTATAAGGATATAGACTTTAATGCAAATTATTTTATGGTATCATTGGATCATTGATAAATTTGTGAGAAATTATGACATTTTTATGGCATCTAAACCCTAAGGGAAGAAGGTTTTAGATGTTAGATTACATACTAGGATATAGTTCTGATAGAGAAATAAAAGAAGTAATGTGTGAACTTTGAATAAACTGAAAGAATAGTACCAGTCTTACCTACTGTACTACTTTGTCAAGTACATGACCCAAGAACTAAACTTCCACAATGATAGGGAAAATACCAGTAGCTTTGAGAGTCAAGATGTTAGTATGTTTGCCAGGACACACTTACTCATTTTCCCTAAATGTTTCTATTGAACAATTACCAAATACAAATCAAACACTTTTTTAAAAAAGGCCTGAAGGTAACAGGCTTGAGGTAAGCTTCAGTAACAATGTTAGTAATTAAATAAAAACCTGAAATAAGCAAAATTATGTTTATAGCACAGGTAAATCTACAGCGTAAGTGGACTATCTTAATGTTGGAAGTTCTTCACTCATTATACAACTTTCCCAGTATGCACAGTACTCACCAGATTAATTTTTTATTTAGTTACTGTGCTGATGGAAATATTTCTAAGTGAAAAAAAAAAATGAAAACTATTTAGAATTCAACCATTCTGCCAAGGCAATGCTGATAATGCTGCCACCTAATGGTGAATCATGACAATACCAAACAGCGAAGGTAGGAGTTGCACTAACTTGTGGCTACAGGAATTCACTCAAATACAGCAATGAGATTTTGTTGCTTAATTGTACCATTGTTTTTACTGTCATATTTTACTGCATGAACTTTATATGAGTTTGATAAAATTCATATTATGCCAAATTGTGCAGAAGTGTTCACAACAGGACAGACTGTAAGTTTGGTCATTGGCTGGAGCATGGGAACTTAAATTTTGGGAGAGTTTTCACTTAGAATAGTTTATGCTGAACACCTGTATTCTTTTTTTTTTTTTTTTTTGGTACCGGGGATTGAACTCGGGACCTTGCGCTTGCAAGGCAGGCAGCAGAACCACTGAGCTAACCTTGGCCAACACCTGTGTTCTTACTGGGAGTATAGAATTTGAGTGTCATAAAGGGAGATTCTTACGATTGGTGGCAAATAAAAACCATAAGGAATGAAAAGAGTGTATGTATACATATCCTCCATAAAATGGTTTGTGTTTGTGGAATACATGAGAGGAAGATATTGGCAAGAGATTGATAAGGAAATAATTTGTTAAACTTTAGAAGAATGCTACTTTTTCAGCTTTTCCTGCTCACCAGGCTTTTCAGGCCACTAAAGTGCCTTTATCCTAGCTTTTGGAATTTTCTATTTGCATGAGAGCAGGTAACTGGTTTGACTTATATGTGTGCATATATATGAATTATTAGTTTTGAGTACTGTGAAGAGTTAAATAGGATATGAAAATGTAATTGTGAATAAAATCTCTACTTACGAGTAGTGATACACGTTAGCTGTGAAGTATTCTTCTGAGATTTCTATTTTCACTCTTGCTTTTCTCAGTCCACTCTAATCCTTTTTAAAGATGGAGCAACATAAATATTCACTTAGAACAAGAAAAACAATGACAACCAATTGCAGAATTTGAAAGGATAAAAATACTGCAAACCTAAATTCAGAAAAAGAATATTTTTAATTAGCTGCCTGAACCATTACCTATATTTTTAGCTTTATAATTTTTTTATCATTTGAAAACAATTTTATAGCGCATTGTTTCTAGTGAGAATGATTTAGTATTCCATTTAAGCATAGTTATATTATTGAAAGTTTAGAAAAGCTGATTTGATTTTTACAGTTTATTACTGGTAATGTCAATTCTTAGTATTGTTAAATTTGGGGAAACTGTCGTACAAGTTTTTTTTTTGTGTGTGTAGTGATTTCAAGGCACTTCACATTTCTTTGGACAGTAAATAACCTTAATTACTCCTTAAAAATGCTAGGGATCATTACCTTGCTGTTAAGTCCTTGTAAAACTGTATTAGGAATTTTAGGTACCCTTATAGATGCCAATATTTCATGCAAAATCAACAAGGAATATTTTAAATTTTTGATATGTTTATGTGGTTCATTTTTCCTTTATCAATTATCAGAAAAATTCAAGACTCTATTTACTTCTATTTAAAAATTTATTTTTCCCTCTCAATAAATTACAGATTTTAGTTTTACTTGATCTTCCAAATTGCTTTTTGTCAAAATAATTTATATTGATTTATATGGTAATTGAAAAATAATTTTTGTAAGATGTATTAAAATTACATATTATGCATTGTTGAATATATTCCTCAAGAAGAAAACATCTATTTTGACTAGATTGATTGAGAATTGAATCCTGCATCTACAATTTTTTACATTCGGAGTTTGGAAGGAAGCACTGATCTAACTGTCCACAGACTTCCAGTAGCTTATGCCACAGGATATGTGCTTATCACATGATCTGACCCTGCATCTTAGCTTCTGATGCCAGGAGAACTCTCAGTGAGTGGTAGGAGTGTTCTTGGAATCCGTTTCTACACAAAGATAGCTAGCAAAAACTTGACTATCCATGTTAGCGCTTGTGAATCTCCACGCCTTTTTAAATGGTAAATTCTATCATATTACTGCCTCACTTAAGTAAGACCCTTCAGTGCTTCCAAATTTTAAAAATTTAACATCCTTACTAGAATCTATTAAACGTTGTATGATTTTGGCTGTTTCCATTTCTTCAAACTCACCTTCAACATTCTTTTTTTGCCTTCTGAGACCCAGACATACTGATCTAGAATATGCAAACAAATTTTTCTTACTCCAGGTCACCAACACCTACTATACCTACCATTTACCGAAGTACTCGTGTATTCTACACCTGCTTTCAGGCTTAGATGATCTCTTTTCAGATATTTCCTTTTTCAGCCACTCATACTAGTTAAACACCGTGGTTTCCAGCCTCCTATGGCAGTTACTGACCTTTTGAGTTCTCTTAATAAATGCTTCTGGAATGAGTAAGCATTTTTTAAAAGTATTCAGCCTCCCTTTCCTAATGTAATTTATGTACAATGTCTATGACATATGGATGTATATACTTTATATATGCATACATATGTACTGGTATATATTTTCTGTGTATATATAAAATAGCTTTTTGGATGTTTTGACTTAAACATGCCATTATAATCTTAGATATGTAAGTCCCAATCTGAACTCATTTCTTTCCCCAACCTGTTCTGCCTCTAATACAGTACTCCTTATTTTACGCCACGACCATTTACTCATTTTTTCGCTGAAGCTAGAAGTCCAAAGTCACCCTGTATTCTCTCCTATCCAACCTGTCGCTAAAGCCAACTGATTTCCCCTCAGACCTACCCCTTCGTCTTCCCCACTTGCTCAGACACCTTATTTCCTCCAGGAGGGATGGTAAATGCCTCCATCTTTCCCTCCCCTGCCCTGCTGTCAGATTGATCTTTCAAAGATTCAATTTTGACTATGTCAATGCTGTTTCAAATCCTTTAAAAATATTGCTTCTCTTACAAGCCAAACCATGAATAAAGTCTCAAAATCTGATTTACGTTCACCTCTCCTGTTTCCTTTTTCCCAGTCCTGTTACCCAGCTCAATTTCTCCACACTGGACACGTTCTCTTTTTTGCACTTTTCCCTCTCCGTTTCCAACGCTCTCTCCCAGCCAGCTGCAACACTCGAAGCATCTCGTGAGCTGAACCCGCCCTAAATGGTGGCCAAAGGGCAGCTTCGCCCCTCCACCGGCCTGCGCGCCCCGCGACGGCAGGAACCGTCCTTTCCCGTGGGCGGCCCCCACGTCCCCGCCACAGACTGAAACGAGTCCTCGGCGAGTTCTCAACGACACGGAGGGAAAGCTCAAACATGGAAATGAAGACTGAAAACCGGGATTTAGATTCGGAGGGCGTTGCTCCCGCTGCTCCTGACCCTTGCCCGACTGCGCGCCGTGCGCGTTGCGGTACTCCTGCCGACCGGAAGCCGGCGCCAGCCCCAGCCCCGCACCCAGAGCCCCTCAGCGATGAATGCGATGAATTCGTCAGCGCGATCCCCGAGGCGGCCCCCCTCACAGAAGCTGCCTGGAGCTGCTGCCCGCGCTGCGGGGTGCCTAGGCGAGGCTGGCGAGCCCGGTCCAGGGCGATTCGCGCAACACCTCAGAGACGCCGCCCGTTGCCACCGCCGCCTCCAACGGACGCCGGCTGGGGAGGCGCGCGCCTCCCGATTAACTGCTCGCGTCCCGCTAGCCCCGCGCCTCGGAGCCCCGCCCCCGGAGCCGCCGCGCGCGGCAGTTGTTTCCCGACGGGCAGCAGGGTCCTCAGCGCCGCGACGCCAAAGCCCTGAAGAGCGCTGGGATCTTGAGGCGGTAGGCGGCGGGGAGGGAGAGAGTGAGGAGGCGCTGGCGCGGGGAGCGGGAGAAGCGCTTCGGGCGGGTCGGGCTGAGGAGGGGACTGGTCGGCGAGGGGCGAGCGGCCGAGGGGCGTTTACCGGTCCCGGGCCCTGAGGCGGGCGGCCGGCTGCTTTCACGGCCTTTCGTCCCGCGCGTCCTGTGGCAAAAAATGTTCTAGGCGAAGCGACAGAAAGGACAGGTTAGCATAGCCACGGACACCTGTTGCCTGGACAGATTTATCCCAACCACTTAGTCGTGTTTGTATTGAAAGATACTTCAGAAAAACTTGTCTATCTGTATTTTATTTAGGTTGTAAAAAGAAGGTATAAAATATGGTAGAACTTTGAGCTTTTGATATTTAAAGAGTTTTCCCGAATAGTGCCACTAGGTTTGTGGAATGACTCGTAACTGGTTCACCTCTTATTTTTCTGAGTTTGTTACTTTTCATCTGTCATTTTATCAGTCTCGCAGTTTACCTACAAGGAAACAGCATTTGGTTTTAAGGAATATTAACCTTTGTAAAAGTAATGTTTTGAAGTTGGAAATTGAGATTAAATCCAAACGAGTCATTGTAAGGAAATTACACAGGTAAATGAAGATAGTCTTATTTTTTAATTGCAGCAAAACCGTCAGCACTTTCCAAAGAAATCTAGATTTATTTATTTTATCTATGAGGTGGTGCTGGGGATCAAACCCAAGGCCTTGGGCAACCTACTCAAGAGCTCTACCATTGTGCTACACCCCCAAGCCTGAGAAGTCTAAAATTTAAATTGGAGATTTTAAGCTGAGGATCTAGCTTCTAGAAGCAGCACCTAGTATATTTCTTAGTTGTGGCCTATGTATGGCAATACATCATATCTGTAGAATGAGGAAAACATAATGCTATATTTTAATATTCTAAGAAAAATTGAAAATTGAGGAAATGTAAAGTTTTGGTATTTAAAAATTATCTAGCAAGGCTTTATCCATATATGTGCTGCCTTATAGTTTTTTTTAAAAACAATCCATACATGTAACACCTGTTTGGAATAGTGGATAATCTGATGTTTTACTTACCAAACAGGTAATTTTAGAGCAAAGGCATAAACTTTGTAATGAAATCCTCACTTAGCTGTGTGATTTGGGTTTGTCTCCCCATTTTTCTGAACCTCAGGTTTTTCCTTGTAAAATCCAGCAAATAATTTTCTCCAACAGTTAACGTATGGCTCAGAGTTAAATTACATACTATATGTGAGGTGTTTAGCATGTAGAAGGATCTTAAAAATGGCATTTTAATTGAAGAAATATATGCTGGATAGTGAGATTGTGTCCAAATTGGTCAGTTGTGTGTTTATTACCCCATTGTATGGTTCTTTGGAATTTTGAGTTAATTGGTAATTTCATTATTGATAGGCCTCAGTTTTTTAAAAAACAGTAAAGGAACCTAAAATACTGTTGTTTTTTTCCAGATGTAGAACATCAAATACAACTTAAGTCTCCTGACTAATATTCCTAACCAATATTCTGTTTATACACCTTGGCCTTTTGAGATTTGTTAAGTATGTGTGAATTTGAAAAAGACTTACTTTATTCAGCAGCCATTTCTCAGCATTTCTATTACTTTTGAGAGATTGGATCAAAATATTCTTTAATAAACATTTATGTCACAAAACTATATATTTACATTTAAAAAGACAGCTTTATGATAGGTCTGCTACTTGTTACTAGTTACACGTGGGATTCTGTTTCTTTTGAAACCTTTGTAACAGTTACCAAAAATATTTAGGTAACACCAGTAATTAGTAACTTATTGAGCTGTGTGGTTGAAGGAAACATTGGAGTTTAAGATTGAAGTTATTTTGTATACTGGCTTTGTAGTTCAATTAAGCCTTTATTATTTTTAACTAAACTGAGAGTTAGGATCTACTTTGTGGAGCCCTGTCTAGATTATAATCCAATAAATCAGTTCATAATAATTGTCTGGTAAATACTTAAGTTTTTCCATTAATAACATAATGGTAGTATGTGGTATGCATTGTAATCTCTAATTCATTCCCTATACTGTCAGTGTTTCTATACAGGCGTAGTTTACTTTTTTTTTTTAACACTAGATAGTATTTTATGGCACCATCTTTTCTTATTTTCTTGACTGAAGTGCATTTATATATGGGGGAGTCCTAGCTGTTTCTTTCCTACAACTAACTGAAAGGTAGGTGGCACAAAAAGAGCTTTCATTTTTTTGTTTACTTGTTTTGCAAAATCATATAATGGAGCTCTGTAACTCCCCAACTTTTGAAAATCCCTAGTTTGAATACTCTGGATTTGCCTTGCTCAGCAGCTGGAAAGGACTTTATAGCCTACCACTCAATTTCAGCTGAGCAATGAAAAACAAGGAACTGTGTGCCAGTATTCTATTCTTTTGTATTCTGATTCACTAGTTTCTTATGGGTAACAGGATGGAAAGTTACTGCATACTAGTATTAGGGCCCTGGGAAACCTCACTTACCTTTCTGGCAGCTGCCTGGAGTCCCCCTAGTAAGTGCTAGCAGTAGGCCCCCAGGCTCCTCTTACTGTCATCATCATTGGGGTCCCATTCGGGGCACTGTGACGAAACTGCAGCCTCAGCCCTAGCCGAATACCCCAGGGTTCCGGGAGTGACGCTGGGGTTTGGCCCCAGGGCCTCTTTGACTGCCTGTTGATAAATGTGGTCCCACTCCTCAGGATCTTTTTACAGGATCTGTAAAAGCTGCTGGCAATCATCCCAGGTTGGCTGATGGGTATGAAAAACAGGCTCAAGAAGAGAGATTAATGCCTCAGGTTTTTCAGAGAAGGGGAGATTTTGATGTTTCCAATTGTAAAGATCACGAGTTGTAAAAGGGACATAAATCAATCCTCCCCCAGGCGCTGTCTGTTTTGAAGGAAAAGGGAGGAGGAAGACAGGGCTGATGGACTGTAGTCCTGTCCCGATGGAGTGCCAAAGGTTGATCGGGACCTGTGGGCCCCCAACTCGGGTCACCATATTCCAGACCTTGCGAGCAATGTGCATAGAATAAGTTCCCACAGGGGCCAACTGACTCTGACACTGGGCCATTCTAATTGACACAGGGTTCATAATTTGCCTTTGGAAAATTTCATGCCATTTTTATCTTCTCTGTGGAATAAATTTTTTTGAAGTTATTCAAGAAACAATCAAGTGGAATTCCTTCTATGGACTGTGAAGATCCCATAATTTTAGCCTGTGAAAACACAAAAGGCACACAGAGCAAGCAGACAGACAACAATAAATCGACAAAGACAAACTTTGGCCAAGTAAAACCTCTGGGGCCGAATGGATTGGGACCCCACCCAGGCAGTTGCTCTTCTGAGGACTCCGACCCAGTGAGTCTGCTTGCTGTCGTAAAGAGACTCTAGGCAGGGGAACCTGTGCTGAATCTGGCTTCCTCCTCCTACCTACCCACAGTGCACTAAGAATCATTTGATTCTTACCTCTAGAGGCTTTCCCGATAAACTCCTGCAGGTCGGTTGATCGGCGACAGGGCCTGACTGGGACCTGCCTACCCAGAGCCCCAGAATACTGTCAGGGTGGCCTCTCCTTCCGCAGACCAGTGTCCAGAGGGGCCAAACACTGCTGATGTCTGATCCTGGTCTCTCCTAAAAAGAAACAATGGCTCCAAGATAATAATAAGCTCTAGAGCAGCTGGCTATCTCTCTGGGGCCTCCAAGAAAGTTAGACCCAGCGAGAGAGAACCAACCAGAGACCGATATTAAATCCACACAGGAGTTTATTACCGGCCGGGACCCGAGCCAAGCATCGGACTCGAGCCCCAGCTCTGGGGAGACAAACATGTTTTATACACCTTTGAGGCCAGCAGTTTCTAGGCCCCCCTATAGGATAGAACTAGCAAAACAAGCAAAAGGTATAGAAGCGGAACGTCCTGCTGTTAGAACATTTGTAAAGCAATAGTGGATTAATTGTTATTTCTAAAGGGACCTTTTAAGGGGAGGAGGTTTCTAAGCTTCCTCTTTCTGAGTTCATCTAAAGGACAGGCACATGGGTCAAGCAGCAATATGGAGTTTGTCTTGCTAACTAGGGTCCTTCATTTGGAATGGCTAGGGAATATATTAAGTGAACCAATATATTAGATCAGTGTCTGGTACTTTTAAAAGTATCCCCTTCCACATAGAAAATATTCTGTATTTATTTGAGGTATATTTTGGTACTTATATGACTTTTTTACTTCCTGTTACATCAAAGTTATATTGCCAACAAGTACATACAGCATTAGTTTTGTTTAGAAGATTGTTAATCACCATTTTGTGCTGCTAGTTAACAGGACAAATTACAAAGTGAGGTAGATATTAACTTGGAATATTGGCTGCCTTATCTTCAAATTTCAGAAAAAGTAACTGGGCATAGTCATCATTGCCAACTTTGAGAAGTTGTTTATAAGTTTATGACTTTAACATTTATACATTTCTAAGGACATTTAAAATGATAAAACATTTATTGGAACTGAAAGGGAGAGTTGCTAATCCTATCTTATTCATGAGGAAACAATCATTTAGATTTATGATTCACTTGCAATCAAATGCTTACAGTTATTTTTGGATGAACAGGTACGAAGCCCAGTGGGGTTTTAGTTTTGACTTATACTGATGGACATAAAAATTTAGAAAGCCTGTGTTCCATGCAGATGTCAGTTTTAGTTATAGTGAGGTACTTAAATTTACAGTTTGTATAGTTACACCAATTATGTTGCAAGTACTAGGATCCAAAGATAAGTAAGGTTTAGTTTTTGTAGCCTCAGCTAACTTGTAGTCTACTCAAATAGCCATATAATATATTTTAGAAACATTGATAGACTATAGTAGGGACTAGTGGAGGAGGAGAGTTAAAAGGAAGAATTATTTTTATGTTACTACTAACTATTAGGAATTAGAGAACTTCACACAAACTGTTATTTAATATTACCTATTGAGGCATGAAGGTACTTTTCTAAAGAAAGCTTGAGCTTGAAGTTGCCCTTGACAGATGAAATAGTTACTTGGGAGAAGAGCAATAAGGAGGGTTAGGGAACTTCAGCAGAGCACTTGAATACCTAGGTACATGGTAAAACAAAAAACATTGATTCAATAATTTATTGAACATCCACTGTGTACAAGGCACTATACTACACAATACAGACATACTTGAATGATAGAACTGTAACTTAATACTTGATTAATAGGTAGCTGCAACTTGTGCAATAAGTATCACATTAGGAGAGGTTTCAGGATTCTTTTATGAGAAACACAAAGTTATTTAATGAGAACATGGATCTGAGATGGAAAGAGATTGGGGTTAGATAGACTGTAGAGTGTTGTGAAGCAATATGGATAGGAGCATGCCCATTGCTTTCTAGACTTGTTCCTGGGTGACTTACCTTATTTCTCTAAGCCTTATGTGTAAAATGAGGACAATAATATTAACTAACACTGATTGAACTCTTAATTATGCATGAGATGTTGTATTGAGGAACTTTTTGTGAGTTATATTATTTAGTTTTCTCACCAACCTTATGGGGTAGGAACTATTGTTATCCATAGTTTCATAATGAGGTAGTGCAGCTATTCAGTGAACCCAGGTAGGCTGACATGAAAGCTACTTTTAAATATTAGTAGTGCCTAATTTATAAATTTGTTCTGCATAACATGAACATTTCCTCTGTCATTAATAATCAAGGAGAATATTAATAAATTCTTAATAAAGGTTTTTAAAGCAAGAATATATATAAAGGGTCATACTTTATAGAGAAAAGATACTATGTTCATCCATTTGTTCAGGGAATGTTGTTTTATCCCTATTTTGGATTCAGTACGGATTCTATATTAGTTACAGGTGACACAGAGTTAATAAATATTGTCCCTCACTTAAAAAATCTCATTTTTTGTCTAGTATGAAAAACAATTTAATAGAGTGCAGTTTTCTTTAATGTCATGATTTTGGTATATTAGAGGAAAGCACTTAAACTTATTTAAAAAGGGATCAGAGAGATGAGTTATAAAACACTGGGATTAAGAGAGTAGTGATGGGAATAAAAATATATATGAGATGTTTTGCAAATAGAATGGGCAGGAATTAGAGACTAATTATGGGATGGGTGCTATAATTTACACCATCAAATTGAAGGTGTCTTCAAGAATAATCTAAAGGAGTTGGTGATGACTTTAAGGAATCCAAGAGGAGGGAGGTCTTTGGGGTCAAAGTAATTCATTTGATTTTGGGTAAGTTTAATTTGAAGAGCCTGTGATAAGAAATTGAAATGGGATTTGGCAATTAGAAAAATGAAACAGGAGTTTAAGAGATGTAGATGCTGGAAGCATAATTAGATTGTATTTATGTACATAGGTCATTGAAATCATAAGAATAAGTGAGATTACCTAAGAGGGCTAAAGATCAATTTAGTTGAATCTCTATATTTAATTAAAGAGCAGAAAAAATCACTTAAGGAAGTTAGAAGAGGCAAATAAGCCTACAGATAGGAAATAAGCCAAAAGAGGAGGGTGAGTGAAATTAATGGAGGAAGATGTTTTAAAGAGGGAATGTGACAAATGCTCTAAAGAGGTCTGTGATTATTATATATTATTTTAAATGCTTTTCTGTGTTTGTGTCTTCCAATTTATGAAACAGATCCATCTTCAAATGAGTATTGTGGTTATTCATATACAAGCAAAACATCTTGTGCAAAAGATAAAAATGCATTTTTCCCTTTTAAAGTATGGAACCTCAAGGCCTTTGTGACAATGGAGACCAAAAAATTGATTGGTAAATCGCTTCAACCAGCAAGACCTGTTCATCATCTGACTTCTTCCTCAGGTGAGTAATACAGTATACAGTTCTTTAAATATTAATTTGTTAATGGTTAATTAGGATTGAAAAGTTAAATAATATATAAAGTAATTGTTTGAGGTAGATATTTAAAGAAATAATAAAAACTAATCATCTTTTATATTTTAAGAATTACAAGTTATTACCAAAAGAAAAATATTTTTTTTCTTTTCTTTTTTTGGAACCAGGAATTGAACTAAGGACCTTGTGCTTGTGAGGCAGGCGCGGTGCCATTGAGCTAAATCCCTGGCCCCCAAAATATTAATAATCTACTTTTAGCCCAAAGTCTATCAGACTAACAAGGGTAGGAAAAATAATCCTTGGCAGAAAGTAACTGCATATAGTTATTATTTTTATGTTTTATTTTTCAAAGTCAACCGGCATCTAATTAGAGTGATACTGCCAATATCAGTTGTGTCCTGTGGTTATGATCACTGCACAGCAGTCATGTTGGAGAATTAACTTTTTAAAAGAGATACTTATGTGCAAAACAAAGCCAAAAACAAACACAAAAAATTAACACAGATTTTACAGCACTCAGGTTATACTTGGCATCTAGCACAGGTTAGGGCTATGCTTGACCTGGAATATATCTAATTTCAGAAAATCTAAACAAAAGCATATACCTAAAATTAAATGTTCTTTTGTCCATAAAACTATTCTCTTGGATAAATTCCTTTTATTTTATTTTTTATTGGGCAAATTCTTAAAATACTTGATACTTAACTAAATTAGAGTATTAACCTTTTTATTCTGTTCAGTTCTTATTGTCAGAATAACTTCTTTGTTCTAACTTAGGTGACATACACATAACCTGTTTATATTTTGTTTAGTCTTTGTGTTGAATTAACTGACAACTTAGATAAAGGAAAATATATCCTTTTTATTGATAGAAAAATGAAGCAAAAAAGGTAAGGAATGGTATCAATCCCTGTCCCCTGTTTGTTCTCCCACCTTTCATTCCTATAAGAAAGATTGCCTCTACTTTGGCTAAGTTTCCTTTCAATATAGCTGTCACTTTTGCAACAGACAAATAAAATTAATGGATACTTTTAGACCACAGTTTAGCAATGCTGATCCCATGTCCTTTTGGTGCACTGGAAGCAGTTTTATAGTGTCAAATCTCTGATTTTACCCTAAAGGGGAGGATATAAAGCAATTGGCAGCAGCTTCTTTCTATCAGAAGCTTTTGCCAATGCCCCTACCTCCTCCTCTCCAGATTCAGGTTTTCAATGATCTCTTCCCTCAAGGCTTTTACACAGATGAATGGATGGAATATGTAGGTGGCCCTAGTCTCTCATTTAACTGTAATCCTCTTAAGATTCAGATGAGAGTAAGTTTATTAGAAAAGTTTAATAAATCAGAAATCAATTTTAGCCTTTTTCAGCACACTTCCACACTCTGAACAACTAAGTTCTTAAGAATCTTCTTTTACTTAAAGACTCAGATTGAATTACTTCTTTTTGCGAAGTCTTTCTAATACTTCAAAACTAACTCTGCTGTCCCTTACTATGGTCTCTAAACTTCTCTTATAGTTTACAGTATATCAAATTGTATTGTAATCATTATTTATTAACTTGTTTTTTTAGACTATGAACTATTTTTACTTCTGAACTCTTTTCATGCCTCCATATCCATCCCTGAACACAGAGGCTGACATTTCATAGGGTTGAATAAGTATTTGTTGGGTAGATGAAATGTTAGAAATATTTTAAAATAATACCAAAAGTATCCTAACACTTAAGCTTTCCAAGTGATGTTATAACACTTAGTGACATCATGAATATTTAAAATAGAATTTTTTTCCTCTCCTAACAGGAGCAGCGTTGCTTTTCAACTTTCAAAGTGAATATCCATGCAACACCCAGTGCTTACAAAGTGGAGTTAGCAGAGTAAGTTTTAGAAACTGTAATAAAATGGGCCTGGGAGTGTAACTCAGTGGTAGGTTGCATGCTTTGCATACATGAAGCCCTCTGCTCAATCCCCAGCAACAAAAAAAGAAAGAAAAAAGTTATAGATAAAACATTATAGAAAATAACAATTCTTAGATGATTGTTGTGTGCTAGATATTATGCTACTTTATATATTTTCTGAAATGTTATGTATTTCAGACATATTTTAAAGGTAATATAACACCTATGTATCTGTCACCCAGCATTTTGAAATCTGAACATTTTAGTATATTTGTTTTGAAAAATTTAAAGAAAAATTTAATTAAAAGTTCTTGTATGTCTCTCTACTATCCTATTTCCTTCCCACCTTTCCCAGAGATAACAATGCTTGGTTCCGGCAGGCTGGCCTTGGACAGCCTGAATCTTCTACACATGGTAACCCTGGATTTCGAAAACTAGCTTAACTGTCTCTTATCTGTGTATTTTCGGTTGGTCACCAAACCTTTCCTGTCTTTACTTTCATGGCTTATAGCATGGAAGTCATACCTTCCTTTTCTTATGATTATGATAATGAAATGAAATAACATGTAATCACTTTTTATAAAGCTTTTAGTAAGTGTACTTTTTTTTTAACATGCTATGAAATATTTGAAAAAATCAGTATTTTGAATTTTTAAGATGTGCAGACATGAAAAGTAGAGTTTTACCTTCAAGCTTGAGTTTAGGTCTTCATTTAAGTAGCTGCTATAGAGTTAGTGAAATGTTAAAATTTTAAGATATGAGATTTTTTTATTTTTAAAATATCTATTATAGTTAAGTAATAAGAACACCTTTTTTGTTTTTGAGACAAGGTCTTACTATATAGTTCAGGCTGGCCTTGGACTAACTATGTAGTCCAGGCTGGCCTCGGACTCACTATGTAGTCCAAACTGGCCTCAAACTCGAAGCAATCTTTCTGTCTGAGCCTCCCAAGTGCTGGGATTACAGGCATGCACCTCCACGCCCCTCACAGGAACAACTTTAGAAAACTAGTATTTTTGACATTTCCTAATTTTCATATCTACTTAAAAATTTTAAAAAACTAATAGTTGATTTTTTATTTTTATTAGT